GTATCTACAGTAAACGTATGTAAACGTCCTCAGTCCTCGGTTCTCAGGATACCGTCCATCAATCCTTTGCCAGGCTGGGTTGGGACCTGTGCGATTTCCATGTTGTTACCATTACGATCGTACCCAGGCGAAAACTCAGAACATATGCACTTGCGCACTTACAGCGTGCGCACATATTGTTCTGAAACGAGGTCTGCCGTTTCTATTCCCGCAGATTTTTGTTGCTTGTCTTATTTCACGGTGTGTGCTCATTCTGTCGGGGTGGCGGCGGATTGTGGTTGTTGTAGTTGCTGGTGGTGGCGGTGTTTCCAGTTTGTGTTTGCCACCAATGACGAGTGTTGCTTGTTGTCGTTGCAGCTTTGCCGCTCAAGTTGTTTCCTGGTTCCTACATGATCCTTCCGGTATTTTCTAATTGCCGCTGCCGTTATGCAGCTGCTATTCAGACAGCTATGAATAGCGTGGTTATGGTTTGTCCCATCGCTGCCGTTATGCAGCTGCTATTCAGACCGCTATGAATAGTGTTGCTATGGTTTGTTCCATGACCAAACTTTACCGGGAGTCCGTTGCCGGCTTGGCAGCTTGCAGTATGGGGTCTTGTGTTGTGTGTTCTGGCCTGCTGGGGGTTTATGTTTAACCAGGCTGAGCAAGGTTGCTGTGTCTTGCCGGAAAGCCCGTACTCCCCCGAGCTTCCAGAATCTGAAACCTTACTCCTGTTAAGTTCGGCATTTCATTATAATAATGTGCACTTGGGTTTCGATCTTGGAGCCGTCATCCAGCCCGGCAGTTTCACTGGCGACTTTAACTAGTAGCTTGACGGGCCGTGGCTTTGCAGGATACAATCCCAATTTGCGGGCCTTTCGTGAGATCGCTGACAAGCACCCTGCCTGCACAAAACCTGGCAAGGGTCTTTAGAAATATTTAGTGAGGTTAAAGCTTCGATCTGTTCCCCCGCTGCTTGCGGATGTCTTAGGATGAGCTGGACGACTGGCGCACAAATCAGGATGATTCTTTGCGGTTAGGACGAGAGAAGACAGTTGAAGTGCAACTATAAAATGCTTTCAAGCTGCGGGGTGGCGAATTTTTTCTGCGGACCTGTTGCCCTTGGTGTGGGATCTTCTGCCCTTGAGATTGCCATGAGCCGTACTGACCAGGATGTGTTGCTTATGTGCCCGGGGAGAGCGGCTATGAGTTCACCTACACTAACTATACATTGTACCTGTTAGGACAGTCTTCTAGAGCAGTATAGTAGAATAATTGTATAGCAGCATTAAACAACCGCAACCGCAGTGAGCCACACACTGCCACCACTCACGAGAGCTATTCCCCTAACAAGACAGTTGACACCACGACCAACGGTACTCTGCTGTTTATCGTCAGCGGTCTTGTTTGGTCGGCCGGGAGCCGGCCGCCGCCGCCTGGCAGTATGCTGTAGGGCCCTAGGAACATGTGTTTGATTGCAGAATATTCTGTTGCCTGCAGGAAGACCTACATTCGATTGGGGCTTAAAGTCTGCTTACATTTCGTTTGTGTTGAAAGGGGTTTTGTAGCTGGCTGAGGATGCCGATGGCGACGAAGTTCCGTCAGCAGTACAACGACTTCGGTGATTTGTCCAAAGGCCGTCTCTAGGCTTGGAGAAGATGACTATGCCGAGACGGGAACAGCTCATCTGGGTTTTCTAGGTCAGGACTGGTCAAACTTTCCATGCAGAAGGAAGTTGAAGACGTGGCAAGATGAGAAAGCAGAGGGGGCACAACAAACGAAAACAACACCATGCTAGAGACTCCACATCGCGATTCCCTCTGCCAAGGATAGCGTTGCTGCTCTGATGATGGACTCCCCGGAAAGCTTTTCACCGATACCAAGACAGGTCCTTGTTATCTTCGAGCTGCGAAGAAAAAGACGAGCTGCAGTTTCACGCCAACTCTGTAGGTGCATGTCAAACACTGAGCATGCCCTACGTGCTGGCTACTGGGTTCTGCCGCGAAGCACAGGATCAGTATTGCTGACTTTGCTGGCGATTGCTGAGGTTTGGCCGCTCGTGTGGATGCTGATGCCGACATCTGCTACTGCGAAGCGAAACACGTGCAGCAAGCAGCTCAGTTTGCTGTCGTGTCGTGGTCGCTTTGTCGATCCAGATTCCGATCACGTGACAGATGCATGCCCATATGTAAGAACCAATAACCTGCTGTAGATTGTCATTTAGATTCAGATGCCAATCCATCTAACATCGGGCGTGCATTTTGGAATCCACGCAGGTGCCCAGAAAAGGGCAGAAATTCACCCTGTCGCACAGGTCATTCTATGCCAGCATCGCAAGGAATGAGCAGGGTAAACGAGACTTCGACAGCTACGCAGGCCACGCAGCTGCTCGTAGCAGTCCTGACTTCCATGTATAATGTATAGTCTTCTCACTGTTCGGTGTCTTTTCCACGTGATCCGCAGCCAGGCCGCGTCTTGATCCTTGATGAAGTTGATGCACTGGTTATTGACGAAGAGCCCAACGAGCCGCGTCTCGACGCAACAAGCAAGTCAGAGACCCGCAGGCAAGCCGAGTTTGGTTTGCATGTAAGGCTAGGCTGAGGGAAAATCGGCAACAGGAGTAGTGCATACAGCTTCACAGAGACCAGCCACATAGTGCAATGTTGACGAAGTCTCAGGGGACCCCATCCTAGGGTGTCAGTGTTGTTCTGGGTCTGAGTTCAGCACAAAGATTGTCCGTCGTGAAAACGCTTGTGTTCGTGGACTCACTTGTGCATGCCCGTTTGTGCCTGTGTCGTGCTCGTGTCTGTACAAGCAAGCAGGGGAGAGGTAGCTCTAGACGGAGTGTCAAGTCGCGGGTGGGCTTGTGCGGGTTGGGGTAGCACCCCGTCTTCATGACTGAGTCTGACATGAGGGGAAGATGCGCGAGCTGGTGTACTTCATGTGCACATATCTTCCACGCATGTACATACATGCGTAGGCAGTAAGCTCGGCACCTTTGTTGCTGTCTCTAGTGGGCTAGCAGCAGCTGGCAGCAACCCCAGGTTCGTGTACCCCAACACCGAGCCGGGGCCTGACTCGAATCGTTTGAGGTCATCCTGTGGCAATTGACTTTGGGGCTCGAGGTTGTCAGAATTGTCAGAATTTGGCAATAAAGTGGAGTTAAAGCTACTTGACCGTGTAAGACCATTCTATCTTCAAGTCTTCGGACTCCATGCAGGGTCCAGTTTGGATACGACGTGCTTTCTTGGTTCTATCAAAAAGGGGGTCGGGCCGAGGTCGGGGCACGCATTCGATTCGCAGAAGCAGAAAGCATCAGTAGTACTCTAGTTACTGTAGTCGTCGTAGTAGCAGTTGTTGCTATTGTTATTGTTGCTGCAGTCGTCGTAGCCATAGCCGTCCCCGTAAACTTGGTCGTAGTAGTCGCCGTCGACGACGTCGTAGTTGTCGTGGTTGTCGCGGTAGTAACAGTCGTAGGCTTGGGAGTGGGAGCAGTTGCAGCAGCAGCTGCCGAAGCAGCAGCACTAGCAGAAACAGCAGCCGTAGCAGCAGCAGCAGGCAGCAGGAGTAGCAGTAGTAGTAACTAGTAGTATAGTAGTAGTAGTAGTAGTAGTAGTAGTAGTAGCAGCAGCAGGAGTAGTAGTAGTAGTAGTAGTAGTAGTCGTCGTCGTCGTAGTAGTAGTAGTAGTTAGACGTAGCAGCAAGAGTAGTAGTAGTAGTAGTAGTAGTAGTAGTAGTAGTGGTAGTGGTAGTAGTAGTAGTAGTAGTAGTAGTTGTTGTTGTTGTAGTGGTAGTTGTAGTGGTAGTAGTAGTACTAGTAGGAGCAGGAGTAGCAGTGGTTTAGCAGTAGGATTGGTTAGTGTGAGTAGTAGTAGTAGTAGTACTAGTAGGAGCAGGAGTAGCAGTGGCAGTAACAGTAGGAGTACTAGTAGTAGTAGTAGTAGTAGTAGTAGTAGTAGTTGTTGTTGTAATAGTAGCAGCAGTAGTAGTAGTAGTGGAAGAAGTAGCAGTAGTAGTGGTAGTAGTTGATACTAGCAAGAGAAGCAACTGCACGACTATTGCGATGTAACCACCATACTGCCTATGACAGTTGAGTGTTGCAGTACAAACACAGAAACGAGCAAATCTCGAGAAGTTCCTCCGCACCGATAACTCTTCTGACATCGTGCTTTGCAAGAACGGAACACCTGTCACATTCGATAGCCTGCAACTCTCTAAGCCGGGAACCCGCGCATCAAAAGGCTGTCTGAGATTGCGACAACGGTTGCTTCGGGTTTACACAGTGGGAAGCGGCCCGGGCGCCAGATGTCTTGCGTTGACCTGGAATTCTCTTGGTGTCTTTCAGTGGTTCTAGAGTCTCAACTTCAGTGTTTCGCTAGGTGCGAGGTTTTGAAGTCTGGGTTCGTCAGAACTGGTTCAGGGCCTTAGGGTGGATACACTAGTCTTGACATTTACGGACAGACACTTGGACTTCAATCAACGATTTTCTGCGTCATTCAAAGTCTCCTCTTCTCAACCACAACACCCCGCAGAAAAAGACAGAACACCAAACAAGCAAGACAACGCAGTCTTTGACATGCCTGGCCTTGGCTGTACTTGCTTTTGTTTGTGGCTTATGCAGTGACACAGGGTGTGGATCCTTACCAAAACAAGAACAGGAAGGCCATGCGCGATACATGTGAAGTGAATTTCGGACAGCGAATCTTAGGACCCTAGACAGATAAGATGCTTGTTCATTGCTTGCATCGCCCCACTCAGGAGCTGGCTTTGAGAGCAAGTGTCGTCTACACGCAGAAGACCGTGCGCAAAGCCGTAACTCCTGAATTTCGAGCCTCAGCAAGTCAATTTGCAGCTCCTATGTAGGTACTCTGTAACTCGAATTGTAACTTCCAAATTCTAAAGCTTCATTCGCTGCTAGGGGCTTTTTATCTACAGACTTCTGACGCCGCACCGAAGATTCAAGCTGCAGCCCCCCCTCCTGGAGCGCTTACGCCAGAGTCTTAGTCCTGAAGCAGCAGCGCATGTCCGCGCCGCAAGCAGCCAATCTGCGCAGCGCGTCACGCAGCCCGCGTCGAAGGCTTTGTGCATGGGAGGTTGCAACTCGAAGCAGGGATCTTGTCAGTGATGTCAGGGAAGGGTTTAGGATTTTGGGGAGATTCGCCGGGACTTGGAAGTTCCGGGTCACAAGCTCCAAGTGCAGCAGGTAGAAGTCCGACTTCTTGCCCAGAAGTCTACGACCTGCAACTCTCTGGAAGGACTTGGGGCGAAGATTGTCAATGCTGCTTCGCCATGAATGCCAGGCTCCGGGACTTGCATATATCATGCCGTGGACCGGGGAGGAACAGTTAGTTGGGTTGAGGAAACAGCGGCAGGCTGGCACTTTGAGACCCTTACCCCGACCCGATGGCCCGTCGCTGCGACAAGTGACTCGCTTGTTCCCGCAGGTGGTGGCAGGCACCTGGTGCCAAAGCTGACGATAATCCGCTGTCTGACTACGACCGCGATGCATCTTGACTCAGCGCGTTCCCCCCGAAGCTGCAAGCCTGACCCGGTACCGTCCAACCGCATCGGTTAACGATCACGAGATCCGGCTCTGCGGCCAATATAAATACCCCATGCCTTCTGTCCTCGATGCGAGCTGCCTGAGAATCGGCATCGAAAGAATTACACATCTGAACATACGCATGCAGCAGAGATGAGTCTTCGTCGCTGAAACTTGAACCAGAACAAGGAAGGTCCCATGTCCTTGCAAGGCAATCCTGAAGCAGAACCCCTTGTCTGCTGACCTCATCCGACTGAACGAGCATGTGGTGACCTGCGACACTTGGGCTGCCCCTATAAGACCGAGCCCTGACTCTGGGGGACCCAGGACATACGGATACCAATGACAATTATAGTATGTAAAAAATATGTATTTTTCTATATATATATATATATATATATATATATATTTAAATGTATATAAATATATATATATATATATATATATATATATTTAAATGTATATATATATATATATTTTTTTATGTATACTTTTGTGTGTGTTTGTGTATCTTTATATATATATATATAGATGCGTATTAAGATCATCAGTCTAGTACGAAATGGTCATACCGCACAGACCATCCTGGCCCAGGATAGCCAAGATTCTCAGACCTCCGAGCCGTCTGAGCCTCCGGAGACATGGCTGCCCCGCTGAATCAGGCTGTCGGGTGTAGGTTTATCAGGTCTTTAAGGGCTTAGGGTTTAGGGCATCGGTATCGAACAGTTCTTGGATTGAGGAACAATTGCTTTGGAATGGGGGGGTTCAGGGTCTGTAGGTCTTTTAGCCGGAGGCTCGCGCGGCGCACCTGGACCTGGACTCGGTGAGGTACGTGCGTTCATGTACCTGCGCGAGTGACGTAACCTCAGGTCGTTGCTCGCTAGTCACAGAATTCATCAGGAGTCCAGTTTGTGACGGAATAGGACAAGACAAGTCAAAGAACACAGACTGACAAGGTCAGACCTAATAAGGCTTTGGACTATATGTGTTCACCGAACTGCCAGGACACACACACACACACAACTTTTTGCGTCCATGGACCATGTGCCCTGGTCTTGGGTCGTCATGTACAAACCCATCAGAAAATCAGAAGACCTCATTCAAATACGACGGCCAAGACAAGAGTTCATCGGGCTCTATGGAGGGCTGAAGATCACGAGAGGAGCGACGGGATCAGAGGCTGGGCTTCGAAAGCTTAAGAGGTTTAAGCTCTTTGGTCTAGCAGATCTGCCAACCCCAGGTATGAAGAAACTAAAAAGCGCCGCCCACACTTCTCCAAGGCACCTTGGCAGGCTAGACTCAAGCATGCAAGCATCATTAAGGGTTGCGGGTGCACGAGTCGGGCTCCGGCTGGTGCCGTTCGATGTTAGTCTTGAGGTGATAGCCTTGAGGGCGGGGGGCGCGGGGAAAGGCTGGGGGGGGGGGGGGAACAA